AATTAATATATACATATATATATAATGTGATATCTGATGTCTACTTTGTAGGTTTGTGGCTATAAGCAACACACAATTTCCACAGACTGATTTATATGCTTATCTCTAACCAGAGGAATTACCCGTAGAATGAAAAGCTTGGTTTTGACCATATTTGGAGTGCTCGTGAATATGACACACACGCACACATCCACGCACACACATATACACACACAAACACAACACACAGCGTGATGTACTCTGAAAATACACAACACAAAATAATCTTCAGTTGTCAAAAAAACATTTTAAATTGAGCACATGCCTTGTCAACAATCTCACACAAACATAAACAAAGTGTTTATAAACATCTGCATGTGCCCTCTTTACAAACATGCACACCGAATTTCATTATATATGCATTAAACTAACAAAAGACACATTTAAGCAGCCGTTTTCGAGGAGCAAAAGTGTAAATGAGCACAAATAGTGGGAATATTTAATCTGTATATCCTGCATTTTGCATTTTGTCATGCTGTAAACCTCAAAATTCTGATAAATATCTGATAAAAAACGAATGATGATTTGGGCTCCTAAAACTCTGTGTATGCTGTAAAAACTTTATAGATGCCTTTAAATATCTAATCTGGACACTTTATGGTTTTGCAGACTTCTGTTATTTTATTTAGAAAAAAGATGAAAACAGAACCATAAACCGTGCAGTGATGCGGTCATTGCTTTAGTGTATATGGGCCCCTTCAGTGATATATTTCCCTCTCTATCAGATACACAGAAACACTCCCCAATCCTACATGTAATAATTACCTAAAAACAACACAGGCTATCTGGAAGAATGCACACTTTGAACCAACTAAAACACTAAAGTTGGGTTTTATTTCCCACTAACTAGATCATATTTGTGGTTTAAATGTATTTAACACTAGGGGCAGCACAGAGGCTCAGTGATCAGCACTGTGAACTCACAGCAAGAAGGTTGCTGGATCGAGTCCCGGCTAGGTCAGTTGTTCTCTCCGTGTTGGTGTGGGTTTTCCCCAGGTGCTCCAGTTTACCCCACATTCCAAACACATGCGCGAATTGATCAACTAAATTGGCCAAATTGAATAAGTGTGTATGGGTGTTTCCCATTACTGGGTTGCAGCTGGAAGGACATCTGCTTTGTAAAACATATGCTGGAATAGTTGGCGGTTCATTCCATTGTGGCAACCCCTGATAAATAAAGGGACTACACAGAAGGAAAATGAATGAATGAATAATTCAGACGTCACTGCTCCAGATGATGATTGATGCTGAAATTGAAACCGGTCTCGAACTAGCATTAGCAGTATGGATATATACAATCTACATATAATTATAAATAATTAATGCATTTTTAAATAATTATAATATTTTTTAATTTAATTTTTAAATTTTTTTTACATTTTTTAGTGTTTCTTTATTTTTTTGTATTTAATTTTATTTATTTTATTTAAATGGGATTTTTTCTTTTATTCATTTAGAATATTTAGAATTATTTTAATATAATTTATTTGTAATTATTTTTCTGCTTTTTATACTAAGATGGTATTTATAATCATTTGTATATTTGTAATTTTTTAATGTAATTTCTTTTATATCTTTTATTTTTGCTTTATTTTTTATTTTTTTTATGCTCAGAAGTATTTTTTAAATAATGTTTTATTTAATTTATTTAATTTAATCTTTTTAAGTGTGAATTATTTTCTGTTATTTATTTAGAAAAACGTACATTTTTTATACTCAGAAGTGTTTTTAATAACTTTCTGAATTGTATTTTTTTAATCTATTTTATTTTCTTAAAAAAACTGCTAGGCAGCACGGTGGCTCAGTGTTTTTAACTGTGGTCTCACAACAAGAAGGTCGCAGGTTTGAGTCCCGGCTGGGTCAGTTGGTGTTTCTGTGTGGAGTTTGCATGTTCTCCCTGTGTTGGCGAAAGTTTCCTCCGGGTGCTCCGGTTTCCCCCACAGTCCAAACACATGCGCTATAGGGGAACTGATCAACTACACTGGTCGTAGTGTATGAGTGTGTGTGTGTGTGTGTGTGAGAATGAGTGTGTATGGGTGTTTCCCAGAAGTGGGTTGCAGCTGGAAGGGCATCCACTTTTAAAACATATGCTGGCATAGTTGGTGGTCCCTGATAAATAAGGGACTGAGTTGAAGAAAAATGAATGAATGAATGAATGAATGGATATTTAACATTAATATTGACATAATATTTTTCCTTTTTAGAAACATGAAAGCCAAATGAGGTTTTATAAGAAAGTAAATTTTAAACCTCTTTAATTGTCTGATATTAATTCAGCTTTTGACCGTAATGCTTATTATTATGTCCTTTTAAAATATGCATTATATTTCCTCTTCTCCTAAAAAAGGATTTGACAGCACATCAAGACAAATGCTATTTCAACAAAACTGCTTCTTGTATTATTATTTCTGCAATAGGGAGTGTTATTTGCTTTGGACAAACTGAACGAAACAGGTTTAAACCTGTCGTGAAAACCATCATTTTCTATTAGACAAACATAAACATGCGCCTTAAATAAATGACACGGCTGTTTAACTTTTGTCAGAGTATAATATAAAGCCACAAAGGCAGCATTCTTCTCTTTATGTGCTCAAATGAAGAAAATAAAGGCATATAATGAGGCAAATAAGGGTTGAACACATTGTCATGTTTGTAATATTTCTGAAGGAGCTGCTGACATGGAAATGAAGCAGATTTTGGTAAAAAACCCAAACAAAATAAACATTAAAAATAAAACAGATTTAAAAAAATCTGAAAATAAGGTATGTGTGATAATGAAATGACAGAAGGAGAAAGCGCTGAACTACTGAAGTGTATTTAACACTTTATTTAAAGGCTGTTTTGGTGACAGCATCTTAAAGACGTTTCTCATATGGAGAATGAAGCCACATGCAGTGCTCAGGTGTGAGTTTCTCACAGTCTTCAACAGAGTGTGTAAATCTTGATGCTTCTGTGGATCTCGTCTATCAAATCTGAGCTTCATTCTGTATTCTCTATTGGATTGGGGTCAGGTGATTGGTTGGACCATTCTACAGCTTGGTTTTCTTTCTCTGAAAGCATCTGAGAGTCTCCTCGGTTGTGTTTTGGATCATTGTCTTGCTGAAATGGTTTGATCTTCATCCTCCTGCTAATGTAGATGTTGGACTGAAGCAGCTGATATTCATTTACACTGAGGAAGGGCAGAGGCTTGATGAGGAACTACTGAGAGATTTCAGCTGCTGTCTGGGCTTTCACTGCCCAAATACATCTCCCTTTCTTCATGTGTTCAAATCCTTTTTCTTTTTTTCATTTTATTATGCATAACTTCATTTGTGAACTAATTACAGTAGATTTGTTTTCTTTGCATATATATTCTTCTTCTGGTGACAATTTCAAGTCATCAGCACCTTTAGAAATAAGTTTTCTGAGATAAATGGTGACGTGTTCAATACTTATTTTTCCTGCTGAATAAGTAAATAACTGCAGAATGTTCATTTACACACCCTTGTCAGACACAAAGTGTAAAATATGTTTAAAAACACTACGTTATCCGCTACTCATTATTAATGGCATCTAATATTGCATTAATCAGTAGACTGTAATCTGAACTCGGCGAGAGTTGTAAGCATTTCCTCTGAATCTAGGACAGCCGAATTGATCAAAGACAGCAGAAACGAAAACATAGCCAGGCCAAAACCATCGAACCCTCCAGAAAATAATGTCAAACGCTCAACAAATTCAACAAGTGCTGAAATGGATGTTTTTTAAGTGTCTTCTGGTAAACCTTGGGCAAGTCTTCAGCCGTCAGACAGGAAACATGAAGAAGTGCCCTCATTTTATTGTACCGAAGTGAAGTATCTGCATGTATTTTACACAATAAACAGGCTCTGAAGTGTTTTTTCTTCATTGACTCGTAATGTTTCTGTTTTGCATGTTTGAGATCTGCTGAATTATCTCTCTGACATGATAAGATCTCCCACAATAGAGACATTTACTGTCTAATGTTGAGTTCGCACTAAAACAAAGCTGCGGTTTCTGAAGGGACTGTCCTGTCATCAGAAAAGCTACACAAACTCTTTTATTACAATATGAGAATCATCGGCTGAAAATGCCATGACAGAGAAAAATGATCAATCAATCAATCAATCAATCAATCAATCAATCAATCAATCAATCAATCAATCAATCAATCAATCAATC